GCGAGCAGCCTTTCGTCGCGCAAAACCAAAATTCTGTCGCGCAAAACAAATATTTGTCGCGCAAAAGTTAAACTTTACGCGACGAAGAGTACTTACGTCGCGCAAAAAAAAAAATCCCAACCAGGTCATTTTGGCGCCAAAAATAAAATATCTCTCGTTCTCTTATGCGACGAAACATCTTCCCGTCGCGCTAAATAAGGGGACCCACTGGGTACTGTCCTTTTTGCGCGACGAATGAATGTTCCGTCGCGCAATGTTGCCTTAAGCGACGATGTTTCTCGTCGCGCAAATGTTTCGCGCCAAAAAAATTCCCCCCGCTTTTTTTAACTTTGTTTGCGCAACGAAAAATTGTTTTGCCGTGCATATACATTTTGTGCAACGAAAAATTTTGGTGGCGCAAATTTTCAGTGGATTGCGCGACGAATATTTTCTTTCATCGCGCTAGTATGGTTTGCGCGACGAATTATTCTTCGTCGCGCAATCTTTCGTCGCGCAAATGATGAAACGTAGTAGTGATGGCTCCCTATAATTTAATGCTACCGTATTTAATGAATATTTTTAAACTTTTAATCAATATTGTCCAAATGGTGAAACGTAGTAGTGATGGCTCCCTATAATTTAATGCTACCGTATTTAATGAATATTTTTAAACTTTTAATCAATATTGTCCATATATATGTACATATTTTTTTTTTCCTTCATATAGATGGACCATTTATGTTGAATTAAAATATAGTTCTACCATTTATGACTTCCTAAACCAGAGAGTATGATTGAAGTTAAAATTTTATAGAGAGCTCCTAAAATAACTTTTTGTGTGTTTTTAGCTAAATTTTAACTAAAAAATACAGAGCATCATTGTATATGCTCTTATATGAGAGAGATCCAGACCCTGTGCCAAACAAATAAATAGAGAGAGAGAGAGAGAGAGGGTTGCTGTTGGGATTTCGGTGGACTACTTGACACGAGTTGGGCGAAGTAGGCTTAACCATTGGGTTGGACCAAACTTTGGCCCATTAAGCTTCAAGCTACATACTTTGGTTCTCAAGCTGTAGGCCAAAACGATGATCCCAATATCATGCCATTTAAGGCATATCTGTTGATTATAAAAAGCGCACATCACTGTGATCTACTCTCATGTAGTTTTATTGATACTTCGCAACTCGCTTAACCCACATTTGCAATTTTAACTTCTATTAGATTTTTAGTTATTGGACTCCAAACTATGCTTCAATTCTCATTGGAATTTGCTTAGAGCTAGACAAACTAATAATTTTGTGATCGGTTGATTAGCTACGCAGACTCTAGTTGGCTTCATTTTGGGCATTATTTGGTGCCATTTGGCCTTCGGTTGCTATATCTTGAGCTTCTACTTGATGGCACTTGGATGTTTGTTCGGCTCGGTTTGTTTGAACATATCTATAGCTTACAATACATCTTAATTTTTAGAACCTATGTAGTAATTAATGTTAGTCTAATTATAGCTCCAAAATGTCTCAAAATAAAAATAAAAGGAAAACAATAGCTAAAAAATTATTGCCTCTCAATCTCAAATGATTTCCCTCCCGGGAAAATGCTGTTATCAAGACAGACTATTGTGTGAATATTAATATAAAGACTATATCCTCTGTTTTTGTGGAAATGTGAGCACATTCTGACTAGATTGACACCTCATTCATACATCATCAATCTCCAAATAAAAAGTTACTGTAGTTTAATTCAAAATAGAACTAGCTCTCCCAAATTCTGCTCAAAATTACTATGATCTTAATGAGACTCGCAGAACTCCAGTCTTGAATAATTTAAAATTGAGAGAAGCTAAATAAGAGAAGATGCATAATTGAAAAAGATTGCACAAACTATCAAAAAGATGATCAATGAAGCAGACAGGGGAGGAGTTCCGACCACACAATTGGTCGGTTTTAAATCGATTCAATGCAAACATTTACGCGTTTGATTGAGAATTCTTGTTGGCTTATTCCATCCTGCACAAAACAGCACAGAGCAGTTCAAATAGTCACATAACTTGTGTCAATAAGAACCAGGTAGGTGAACTTGAGGTGCAAATTTCATGCGACTACTTTCGATCAGTTCAAGTTGCACATTAGCAGTGTGCCCAGTACCCACCATGGCATCAGGACCCCAAATTTCAGTTGACTACAGGATACAATTGGCTGGCTTCAACAGTAGTCTCGTTATTATGTACTTGAATGCAGAAACAAAAAGAAGTTATAGTATGTCCTGTTTATATTTGCATCATACATCCTGCATATATGTACTTTTGCAATGGAAAAAAACAAACAAAATGTAGCAAGAGAATTGTTCTCTTCTCCTACCTAATATCAAAATGAAACAAAATGGAAGACCTATAGCTGATTGCTGAATGTAACTACTTAAAGATTTGCACTATGTTAATAGATACTTTGCTCAAATGCGGTAACATGAGTTAATTAATGCTCTGCAGTAGTTAACAAAGAAATTTTCTTTCTCAGATAAATATAATATCCAGCTGATGTTATCGACCAAGATGACAAAAGTACATGAGAGAGAGAGAGAGAGAGAGAGAGAGAGAGAGAGAGAGAGAGAGAGAGAGGAATTATCATCAAAGAAACAATAAGTGATGAATCTAATGATAAATGTGATAGCAAAAAATTTGATCTGCAGGTATTTGAGGAGGTGGAGTTTTTAACGAAGTTAGCAAAAATTTAGCTCCTCTTTTAAGAATAACAGTTTTTATTAAACTTTTCAACAATAGCGAAAAATAAGAGGGGGCAAGACTTAAGTAGCAAATCCAAGTGGTTACCCTCCAAATCAAAAGTTCTATGCAGCCCCTGCTGTAGATTAAGAATGAAGCGGGCCAACCAAATGAAGAAGCAATAGGTGAAGAACAAAACTTAGAGCAACATAAGGCCAAAAGAATGAAGCACAAACAGTAGAACAAACAATAGTACGTCAAATCCAAAAAAATGAAAAGTAGAATCAGCAAAAGCAGCAACTCACATTGAATTGAAATGCAGCAGCTGTGATGCCTCTTGCTTTGAAAGTGACGAATCATAGGTCAGTCCTAAACACATCGATCTTTTTTCTTTTTCTGGTTCGAGCTTCATCAACAACATCATCATCATCATTTAATTCATCTTGGTCTGCCTCTTTGGAAAGAGCATAGGTATTGCAGAAGGGAGATTTTTGGTGAGAGCTACCACTTCCACTAGGACAAGCCTCCTGGTCATCGTGGCGTTGTTGACCTTGTGCGTCAGCTGATTTGGTAGCACAAGCAGTAGTGCTCTTGATGATGGATTTGTTCATCATGATCTGTTTGGGTTGTTCCACATCTTGCTCGTGCACCAAACGAAACGCACACTTCTTCACACTCACGCGAGATTTTTCGGGTACCCTCATTTTCTCTTTAAAATAATAAGTTGACAAAGCCTTTATCTGACCGTGTTTCTTCACAAATTTTTCACGAGATACATAAATTACCCAAAGATGATCTGACACAACATCGCTTATTTTAAAATATCTTGAAGATCCAAATGGCAGCATTCCTTGTTGGGAACAACTAATTTGTAAATAATGAAATTCAGAAAGATCACCCTGAACTTCAAACACAGAACATAAAGCAATTCCCACCCATGTGGTACATGAATCCAGAGGAAGCTCCACAGTTAGGGAATCTCCCAAACTTTGATTACTGAACCACTCTGGAATTTTACTTCCAGGAGTTACAATTTCGAATTGGTATTGGAAATCAGGCCTAGGGATTAGCTGTACCATATACATAGATATATATGAGGTTAGTAAGTTGTAATTATTATTATAGCAAACAACAAAAGAGAGAGAGAGAGAGAGAGAGAGATAGAGAGAGAACCTGAAGGTATCGCTGCAGCATTTTCAGTAGTATACTATCGCAGCCTTCGTTGTCCACCAATACAAAGCAATTGGCACAATTAATATAAAAGTAAAAACGTATTTTGTTGTTTATATCCACTAATGACCAATTTGACGAAAGATGTGGTAACATTTTTAAGGAAGTGCAACCGGCTATGTCTATATATACTAATGAGATAAGCTTAGAAAGATCTGGCAATTGTTGAAGCTTTCGGCACCGCTTCACCCTAAATAACTTAAGCTTAGAAAGACATCCAATGCTTGCAGGAAGGCTAACAAAATTGTTTCCACTAAGTTTTAATTCTTCTAAATAGGACAAGCAGCCAATATCGTTGGGAAGATCCCCTTCACAAAGTCCACAATCACTCAGATCCAATTTCCCCAAAGAGCATAAACCATCAAGCGAACCCAACACAATAGCATTTCTTTGATATAAGCAGGGAAGGCCCCACCAAAACCTTGATTTACTAGGCTGTGATCCAATTCCACGTAAGAATAGACAATAAAGTTTTTTCAAACCATAAACGGATCGTGGCAGCTGTCTTATAGAAGTTCCACACAATCGAAGGTATGTAAGAGACTCCATCTCCCCCATGTTCTCTGGGAGTTCCTCAATTTTTGAGCATCCATCCACATTCAGTTTTTCAAGAGACTTCAAATTACAAATTTCATTCGGAAGACCCGTGAGATTTTTGCAATTCAATAGATACAGATGAGTAAGGCCAACCAGACATCCTATTGATGAAGATAATTTCTCAATGGACGTCTTAATTAAATTAAGTGATAACACATTTTTCATTTGCCCTGAAAATTCTGGAATCTTTTTCAATTTTGAGCAAAAACCAAGATCCAACCTTTTAAGACATTTGAGATCTGCAATTGACGGGTGAATCTCAACCAAATTCTTACACGATTGAAAATCCAACACCTGAAGATTCGGAATGCCAAAGAAATCTGGGGTTGTGGTCAAGTTTTCAGAGCCACGAAGGTTGAAAATTTTCAAGTTGGGCAAGTCCTGTACAATTCATAACAATGGTAGAATATATAATTAGCTCATATTTATTTTATTTTTTTAAACAAAATATTTATTTATAATTTTTTTTTAAAAAAAACTAACTTCTAGAATGGCATATGGTCCCTAGTCTTACCTTTCTTCCATCCCAAAGCCGAACAAGTTTGCTGTTACTCATCTCAAGTGCAATTAGGAAATTTGGTTGAAAACCTGATGGGAGAAATTCGGAAGGATACTGACTCCATTTGATACTTCTTAAGGAATTAGGAAGAAATTTGGGGCTTGAAGAGATCATCACATTATCAAATTCAAGAAATTTCAGGTTAAGCATCTTAGAAAAGGCTTCACAATTCCAATATGCCTTTTCAAGTTTCGCCATGTGTAATCTGATGCCTTTAATTTTGTCCGTTGCCTGTAATTAAGAATAGTAAAAGAAAAGTTAATTCCACAGTTAAGTATAAAAATGTGTTAAAGAGAAATCATATATCTTCCAAAATTATCTTTATATAACTACTTATCGTATTGTTTAGAGTTAATTATTGATTTGCCCCTTAAACTTGTATCTAACTTTTAATTTACCCCACATTTTTTTTTCTTTTTTAGAAAATTAAGGACCTCAATTATTTTTTTAGTCAATTTTCCCCATACCGTTAGATTCACTCACATTTCATCCAATTAGTGTTAAGAATGGTCACATGCAAGACTTAAATAAATATAAAATAATGTTATAAAACAATCAGTCCTGATCTCTTGGACTACAGGGGTCCAAGAGATTTGTGGTCACTCACCGTTGGATGTAAATTTAACGGTTCACTCACTCTTGCACTCCTTTTAAGAAACTTTTTTGAACCATTGGATTAATATCCAACGATGAGTGACCACAATTTCTTGGACTCCTGTGGTCCAAGTGATCGGGACTGATAAAACAATAAAGAAAAAGAAAACAAAACAAAAACATTTCCCGGCCCCATCTTGCTCCCACCAATCCCTAGCCTCCCCCACCATCATCCCCTAGCTACCCCACCATAGTCTCCCAACTCCAGCACCCCTCTTCTCCCAAAAAACCACCTTAACCCCTTGAATTCCTTAGTCCACCCAACACCCAAGCCGTGTAATATCTGAGTCATGCTACTCAAC